TGTGTGTGTGTGTGTGTGAGCGGACTGTGTGCCCGACTACGGTGCACAGTGAGCGGCCTCACTGGGGTGATGCACAACAGACACGGTAGCCTGTTCATATAACATCGCACACTGTTCAGCGAGCACACTGGTGTTGTGTGTGTGACACATTATCATAAATTCGCATATCATTGGCAGTGACAGGAGGAACACACTGACCCAGTTTGGGTAATTATGGGCATCCAGTCACATGCTCTCGTCATTTTTTTGCACCTTCGAACCACACTTGTTGTTGTGAAAATACAACACTATTCAGTGTTGTATTTCAACACGACACAAGCTGTCAATACATTCACATTCATCCAGGCTAGGGATGGGCAACTACGATCCTTGTGGGCCACTCTCCTGCATGTGGTAGAGAGATGTTTCCCTCCTCCAACACACCTGATTCAAATGTCCAGGAGCTGATGAGCTGATCATTTGAATTGGGTGCGTTAGAGGAGGGAAACATCAATCTGACACATGCAGCTCTTGAGGACGGCAGGCGAACATGAGTTGGCTTGAGGGCTTTCCACCATACACACAATGAAGGATGGATTTGATAGCATATAGCAGAGTGACTCATTCGGAGGATAACCTGTTTAAATGCCCCCCCCCCCGCCCCCAAAAAAAAAGAAAACATCACGGACATTCTGGGCAACCGAAAGTTTCAGTGGGCGGGCATTAAAAATTATGTGAATAATCAAATGAAGTATGAAGCTCAATGATACTTCTTTCTCAATGTGTCATGGATCCACAATGTTGTCCCCGTTCCCCCCTGTAGGGAACGACCTCTTCTTGGTCGCTGTTCACGAGCTGGGCCACGCCCTCGGCCTGGAACACTCCAATGATCCCACTGCCATCATGGCTCCTTTCTACCAGTACATGGATACAGAGAACTTTAAACTACCTCACGACGACCTGCAGGGCATCCAGAAGATCTACGGTAACACTCCAGCTATTTGCTTAGAGTAAAAACACTTGAGGACAAGAAAGCTAGCTAATGTATTTGGTGCACATATACTCACATATAAAGAAAAAAAGTCAAAGCTAACATGTCACCGGCATTATTCAATTTTTCTGCACATGTGAATAAATGGGAAGACCTTTTCCAAACAGATTTTCTTTTGTTGAAATGAACTGAAGTGACTAAATGAAATGTGATTTGGACGATCTCCCGTGAAGGTTTTTTTGGAGGGGAGTGATATACAGGAATTGAACACTACTTTGTATTGTACTATTGATATAATGTCATATAATGTACTCAAAATGTAAATCCTGCGATTGGCTGGCAACCGATTCAGGGTGTCCCCCGCCTACTGCCCGAAGACAGCTGGGATAGGCTCCAGCACCCCCCGCGACCGTAGTGAGGATCAAGCGGTTCGGAAAATGAATGAATGAATGAATGAAAATGTAAATCATGTGTCTAATTCATATATTGATTGATGTTACTTCAGACATTTTAAAAAGTCTTGAATGTTACTATATTTTGGTGACAAGTCACCCACACCCTGAATTTATTTTTTAGACTTTTTTTAGGGTTTTTTAAAATTTATTTTTATGATAAATTAAAAAAATAAAATTTGAACCTCTCACATGATGAAACGAACTGTATTTAAATACCTCATTTTATATCATATTCATATTGTTAATTTTAGATTTTTTTTCCCCAACATGTTTACACTTGTATTTAATTATATTGAAAGATTTATTTTTGACTTTTTCTTTGAAATTTATAGTGCATTTATTGTTTGTAATTGAAGAATTTTTAGAGTCAATAGAAGACAAACAAAGTTTGTTTTTTGCGATGATTTCTTCAGGTCCACCCGACAGAGCCCCGCAGCCGACCAGGCCTCCGCCCACGGCGCCCCCTCCTCGCTTCCACCTTCCTTCGGACCCCCGCAAGCACGACCGCCACGCCAGGCCCCACCGCCCTCCGCAGGGGGCCAAGCCATCCAACCCCAACTCCAAGCCCAACATCTGCGATGGAGGCTTCAACACGCTGGCCATCCTGCGGCAGGAACTTTTTGTCTTCAAGGTAAAAGCGGCACAGCGATGAGCGATGCTGCTGACAATCACCATGGTGATGATGATGATTTTCCTGATCCCTGCTTTATCCGTAGGACCAGTGGTTTTGGAGGGTGCGGGACAACTCGGTGGTCCCTGGATACCCCATGCAAATCAACTACTTCTGGAAAGGCTTGCCTGCCAAAATCGACGCCGTTTATGAAAACAGCGAAGGAAAATTTGTATTTTTCAAAGGTAATAAACGCAAGATACACATTTTAGATTGGAAACAAGAGAGTGAGTTGGTGGAGGCAAAGACTACGGCTTGATTTCATAATTGTAAGAATAATACGGTAATAATAATAATAATAGTAATTCTGTCTGGCTTTCCAAAGAAACCCAGCAAACACGTTTGTCATGTGTTTTTTAAACTTTAGAACAATAGTTGCTTACTCTATAATATTGCACTATATAAAGTAATGCCACTGTTCAATAAAATGTAAAGCGTTCAATAGGTTTTGCCACATTTTCTTCAACTCCATTGACATTGTGTTCTTCTGGTGTGTGCACCTTGACCAAAAGGGGGTAGTATAAAGGCCTCTTCACATTGCATTTGGTTTGGTTGTCTTGGTGTGAAATGCAGAACAGGGTGCAGGGCTGATGGTGTCCCAGCGCAAGCTTGTGTTGCAGCTCCGAAGCAAACAGAGCTGTTGTGGTGGTTTTCAGAACATTCATTTTATTAATTCGTTTCACACTGAAGCGAATACAGACACGTCGATGTCGGACTACGCGCCTTCTCAACTGCCGTTCTACTCGAGAGGCGTTCAGGGCCGCCTCTGAAAAAACGTAAATTAATGATCACTTGACTGACGCCCAGAAAAGTGAAAACAATGCAACAAAATAGAAAATACATTGAATAACATATAGAGTCTCCTACACTCTCCCCCACATAAAAGGTGTCGTCTCGACATAATATAGAAAAGCTTACAGACAGAACAGCATGTTATTGACAGTTAAACAGGGAACACTTGGCCATATTTGAAAAGTGGTTGCTTAACAGCCTACCAGAGAGTAGCCTGCTGACTTTACCCGCTGTTTGCATGTGAAGTCGACCGTATGGCATTCTTCTTGTGTCCCAAAGTTTGGGACACTGGGACACTTCATTTATTATGACCTCATTCATTTTGTCCATACACTTTACAGTCCTAGTCAAGTCAGCCAAAGTCTTTTGCTGATAGCACTCTGAGGTCATTCTGCCAAACCGTCTCCTATTGGACGTGTTCTCTGAAATCACTCGGCAACTCTCCCAAATCGAACGCCTTTCAGTTCAAAGTGGTGGAGCGACGACAAACATCTACTGTGTGTGTGTCGCTACATGACACGGCGCTCCATCTTTGTGCCCTTGCAACACATACACAATGACTGAGTTCGTCGATGGCATGCTGGGTTCTACTAAATGAAGCATGAAAAGGCCTTTTTACAGATAGGCACAGAGAATTGTTTTTCAATGGGGGAAAAAGAATATACGCCTGTGAGTATTGTCTGTCTACATGTGCTGCTCCATATTTTGTGTTCAAGTATCCATTTCTAAAGGGTTATGATACCACAACACTTATGCTATAAATTAGCCTATGTGTGGTGTTTTGTGTTGTGCATTAGCATTAAGTAAGGAAAGGTTTTGTGGTTTGGTTAATACGGAACACATAATTCTCTTTGTTTATGCTGAGGTTGACAGTACAGTAAACATCAACGTGGAGTGACTTTAAACAGCTCGAACCAGCTTTTATGTCAAGAAACTGCTGCTCATTGTAAAGTGAATTGAGTTGAATTGACTACCGCCATACAGGGCTCGGAAAACAGCAGCCCCTACAAAAAGCATTCTCTACTTTTGAGCCATTTTGATTGCTGTGTATATGCATTCATATTGCACAGAAGCCATTTTGAAGGGTGTAATTTTCTGTTGGATTGCTAACTGAACATAACACGTGCAGGTCTCACACACAGTCACACATCTATGAGGCAGATGAGCATGACATCTGTCACCCAGTTGGATCAGAGCGTGCTGTCAGTCAATCTGGAATCTCTGCTAGAATGAGGTCATATGCATACCAATGACAACACAAAGGTCAGCTAACGTTCACGTCATCGTTCACAGGTAACCGCTTCTGGGTGTTCAAGGACACGACTCTGCAGCCGTCCTACCCGCAGGACATCTCGCTGTTTGGCAGCGGCATGCCCACGCAGAGCATTGAGACGGCCGTGTGGTGGGAGGATGTGGCCAAGACTTACTTCTTCAAAGGAGACAGGTCCGCGTCATGTATCATCTAGCCGGGGGTGTCAATGGGGACATTTTTCCACTTTGCTAAGCACTTATAGGACATATTCTGAGAATCTGAATCTTTATGAGCCCAAAATGAGCACATGCTTTATGTCATATTTACCGCGAAATACTTATGAATACATTTTTGGTCAAAATGTCCACTCACTGTACTTAAACGGCGTCAGTCCAAAACAAATTTGTCGGGTGGTCGGAAAAATCACTCTTAAGACACACCACACTCATACCTGTCAACCTTTCGGAGCGCCAACCCATATAAACTACCAAAAAAATCCTTATAAAGAGCAAAAAATCCTTATAACATACCAAAGCATTTTATATGTCAAAATAACGGCAGAAAAAAACCCACGAAATTTTTAATGATATTTATTGTAGATCTCCATAATACAATGGCAGGTGAATGTCTAATCATCATTCTACTTCGTGGCATTACACTGTTCAGAGTTGTATTCCTGCGTTACTTTTTTCACCTTGTAGTTTAGAACTTGCTTGTACACTACCGAAGTATGGAATGAATACTCTGCTGTTTTCAACTAGGAACCACGTGATTTACTGGAACGTTACCGGAAATGAAAGCATTCGAGTAGACGAACACCATTCTGGGCAAAAGCAAACGGAACTACCTGTTAGGGAAAAAAAAAAAAAAACGGAAATTTTCAGAATCCGTATGATTTGTGCGATATGGCCATATATGTAAGATTCACCACAAAATCTGTATAAAATATGGCTAAACCGTACGAGTTGACAGGTATGCAAACATAACCACTTCGGATAATCTTTTCGAGAGATCCCAGAGTCGACCTTTTTCTGATTTTGATTGCAATGGAAGGAAGATGCTCAAATTTGTCCTGATTTTCATTGTGATCTGTATGCAAGCTGCTTGAGCAAGTGCATCAAGGTGTCTCGGAGGTACTATAGCTTCTCCCTTGTTGCAAATGAATGGCAGTGGAGTCTCACAGCTTGCCAGCATGGCTCTGTGACATGTTTGTACAGCTGTCACCATAAATCATCTGCAGTTGGGGTCACCAAGAGGGGAACGTGGCGCTGACAAATTGCTTTGCCACGATCATCACGGCAACGGTGATATCATGCCCGCATTTTGTTTATCTCCTCGCATGTGACACAATGAAGATGTATGAGCCTTTTTTGGTTATTGCTGCATTTCCGATCAAATTGAGAAGACCCAAACACATTTTAAAATCAGTCGATTTCTGAAATTGGTCCTTCATTTGTGGCGGTGCAGTCTCGACATGAAATCTGACTTCTTGATTTAGTCCTGGATTTATTTTTTTTAATCCACCCACAAAAATTGCAGTTATCAGTTAACAGGAAGAAGGCAGGTGTGGGGTATCAATTGCAAAATTCGTATCAATTTCCAATCGGCTGGAATGGTCGAGCATGTTGATTTATATACCGGTATTTTTTTAAAAGCCCCTAATTCCTATGTAACAATACCGGCCGAATTTGCATCATCATGCAGCCATTTTTTCTCACATACTGTACATCAGGGGTCCCCAACCTTTTTTGCCCCACGGACCGGTTTATGTCAGACAATATTTCCAGGGACCGGCATTTAAAGTGTGGCGGAAATAATACAACAAAATAATATGGTATGAGCTGCATGGAAACTGTGGTGTTTTCGAAATATAATAATAAACACAAGGAGCGTCTATTTGTTCTCTTTCTCTTTTAATGAATATGTTTTAGAATATCAAATAAAATGCTGGAGAGGCTGAAATGCGGCTACACAGATTTATGACAGGGCGGTGTAGCGCATCCCTGCATTCCAGTGTTGGCTATTTCGTAGACAAGTGCAGGGCGAAGATCTGTGCTGCTGCGGGAGTGGTCACAGCTTACTTCAATAATGGCCACTCAAAGGGGATCCTCTCATTCTCAGTCTTGATATGATATGGACATGGGTGAAGCAGGCGCATGTAGTTCCAAAACATCTGTGTGGGCACTTCGAGACCAACCCCCATCACCCACCCGCTATCGTTTGTGTATAATGTGCAGTTAGCTAGCTTTGTAGCTATGTCTACAACCCGAAAGTGATTTACACCAGGGGTCCCCAACCCTTTTTGCCCCATGGACCGGTTTATGTCAGACAATATTTTCAGGGACCGGCATCTAAGGTGTGGCGGAAATAATACAACAAAATAATATGGTATGAGCTGCATGGAAACTCTGGTGTTTTCGAAATATCATAATAAACACAAGGAGCGTCTAATCTGGCCGCAACACTCTCTCTGATCGCTATGGTAATGTTTAATGCCTTCAAAATACGATACAACGCAAATTCAAAGTGCATGAAAATGACGACTCACCACAGCCCCGAGCTTGATTTTCTGCAACCAGACGGTCCCATCTCGGGGTAATAGGAGACAATGACACCTCAAGTGTGTCCAGTCTACTTCGTAATTTTGTTTTAGTCGCCGTTGCTGCAGAAAACCCCCTCCTCACACAGGTAGCATGTCGGAAATAGCAACAGTGCTACTGTGGCGATCTCAGAATATTCAGCCATAACTTTAATCCAGTTGTCTCGAACGTACTTTTAAGGCCGCCGCCATTTGCGCTCTCCAGCAGTTTTATTACTCTTTTTGCGAGCTCTAGCGTTTTGTTTTTAGCGTAATCGATCACGTGACGAAGAAGCGCGGCTTGACGTGTGTCAAGCGTGACACAGACGGATGTAACGGAGAATCCGGTAATTTTTCAAAATAAAACATCTTTCGTATTCCGAAATAAATAAAACGGAATTAAGGCAAGTTCTTTCTGTGCGGCCCGGTACCAAATGCCCTGCGGACCGGTACTGGTCCGCGGACCGGCGGTTGGGGACCCCTGCTGTACATGGCGGTCACAGACTTGGTATATTCAACATCATTGTGGTCAAGTGACTATAATAATCATCTTGAGTAAACGTATCCATTAAATGAGGAGCAAAACCGTTGTTTAGTATCTCCAAAATATTTCTACCTCCTCCCACCTCGCTACTCTGGCGATATGAAATGATGAGATGAGCCCCTACATGCGGGACCATATTTACTTCCATAAACACTGCGCCACGTGATGTTGAGCATTTTTTAGTGCATGTCACTCGACGTCACGCTTTGTGCGCACGCGTGACACATCACGGCCACGTCGCATTTGCATTAGAAGTCGCATTAGTTATGTGACTGTGTGAACGAGTAAATAAAAAGATCAGATTAAACTAAAAATCTGAATTGAGCATCACGCTGGAACGTAAGCCTGATAGCCAAACTCAGAACCCAGTACAGCTGAGCTACACAACCAAGGAGTAAATGTTCCCATCGGACAGCCGGGATTTCGTTGCAACGTAAACGAGTATATAGCTCCATTTCAGTGGTCAAAGGAATGTGTCAATGCTGCTGTCAAGACGTTAATAAAAGCTAAACAAAATCATATTTTACTTGAAATGTGCATCTTCCTGTGCTGAGTTGAAAGAGTAAAACTAAATGTGAAAACCATTTGAGTTACCCAAAGTGCATCATTCTTTTTTAAACGCAATGGACTTTTTCACCTGCTGCCAACAGCTCCTGCAATCTGTTAGAGCGTGAACACACAATTGAGCACCGGTTCATTGGAATTTTTATGAATCACCCGATAGTGTAAAACAATGAAACTCTCTGCTTATATGAGTGTGAATGTGGTGTTTGTGTGCCATTTTCCAGGTACTGGCGCTACAATGAAGATATGAGGACCATGGATCCAGGTTATCCCAAGCCTATCACCATCTGGAAGGGCATCCCCGATTCTCCGCAGGGGGCTTTCGTGGACAAAGCCAACGGTACTCCACCCGGTGTCGCAAATCCCATTAGAGAGAGAGAGATTGCAACGGCATATACAGTTCAATGCCGCCGTTGTTTCAAAGCTGATTTGAGAGCGTGATGGCAGCAGACCGCCATTAAGCTGCTTTGCTTGTTGCTTACACTGAACACAAGGAAGGCACTGCAGCACCGGCGTTTGATTGTCACGTAAGCTTTGACCAGGCGTGTCACGTGACCCAGCAACAAGAACTACTCATGACACCCTGACCATATTTGAAAGACATTTGGTAACCTGGGGAGCGGTTTTAAAATGGACCTTGAGCATTTCACCCTGAGACAGCGCAACAATGTGATCAGGGGGAAAAAAAATGACATTGAAAAACTATAAACAGATTTGACGTGTTTTTTTACAAACTGGATATTCACCTTACTGAAAAGCCAAACATGGAACTAAAATGAGTCCATGTTGTAGAGTACTGCTGTCCAAACTAAGGCCCGGGGCCTTTTGCAGCGCCCAGTGCACTTTTTAGCGGCCCGCTTGGAATTAATTTTGCAGTTTGGGGGTTGGCAGCATTAGATGTTGTGGGGGCATGTGAGTAATGGGGACCAACACTCCTACTACGACAACTATTGTAACATAATTTCTCTTTCCTAACACTGTGGAGAAGAAAGATAATTCAGTTTCATGAACAAAAATTCCTCCACTTTCTGCTTCGTGAACAAATCACGTCGATGGTCCACAAGTGTTTGTCAGCTGGTGTTTTGCTTCTGAATGGGGAGATGGGATTCAGACATGCATTGCTGATCCGGATGTGTATGCTCCCCTTCAAAACAAAAAAGAAAAAGAAAAAATGTAGTGCTTACCTTTGTGGCCCGGTACCAAATGAGCAGAGGACCGATGGTAGGGAATGATAAGATAAGATCAGATAATATAACCTTTATTTGTCCCACACTGGGGAAATTTGCAGTCTACAGCAGCAAAATGGGGGGGGGCGTTGAAAAGAAAAAACAAAGTGTTGCATGCGCAAATGTTTCAGAAAAATAACTGTACACAGTATAGAATGCAATATAAATATAAGATATAAATACAAGCATATATGCAACTGCACATATGAAGCTTCATAAATGCATGCGCTAACCAATATTTCATGTTGCTGACAAATTGTGAATCAAAATGAAAAAGCAGCACTGAAATGCCGGCTCCCTGTGTCCATCCAGGCTTCACCTACTTTTACAAGGGTAAGGAATACTGGAAGTTCAACAACCAGCTGCTCCGCGTGGAGCCGGGCTACCCACGCTCCATCCTGCGCGATTTCATGGGCTGCGACGGTCTCCCCCCGGATCCCGACTGGGACTGGAGCCCGCCGGCAGCCGAGGAGCGCCACTACGACAGCGGCGACGCCGACGTGGTCATCAAACTGGACGGTGCGGGCGGTACGGAGAAGGCGGTGGCCATCGCCATCCCGTGTGTCCTGGCGCTCTGCATGATGGTCCTGCTGTACACCGTGTTCCAGTTCCGCAGGAAGAGCACGCAGCGCCACATACTGTACTGCAAGCGCTCCATGCAGGAGTGGGTGTGAGGAAGGCCTGGGCTCGCCGAGCTCGGATCGACAGGTTTCGAAATCGCCGGCCGCGTATTGCGATGCCTGGCAGAACTGCACAAAAGGAGACTGAAGGCAGTGAGGGAGCCATATCTCTTAAGTCCTGTGTATTTATCTACTTGGACTCTTTTTCTCTAACAAACTCAACAGTGCGAGTGTGACTCAAGTTCCTGTATGTAAGTGGACTTTTTTTTTTTTTTTGGTCTCTCCTGTCTGCACACTTGCTTGAAGAAACTTCCCGAGCACCAACCAATTAGATTTAAGCTTCAAATTGACTTTTGTTCTCAATGGAATCACCCTGAGCTGTGCTTTTTTTTTTTTTTTTTTAAATTGAAATTGTATGACGGATAGACACACACACACACACACACACACACACACACACACACACACACACACACACACACACAGATTGTGTGGACCTTTTCTTCCAAAGAGGATGTTGGCTCAAGTTTTTTCCCTTACTTTTGGTAACACATTCAGATTTTTTTTCAGAATATGTGAAGATGGCAGGCAGCTATAAAGTGTGGTAAAAATGAAACAACAATAACACAACACAACTAACTAGCCATTTTGAGGGTACGTCCTTCATCCAAAAAACTGTGCCATAACGGCCTCACGGAACTCTTTCAAAATTCAGTCCTGAATGCCGGTTTCGAGTTAGAAACTTTAGAATGAGCAGGCATATCAGTCCATTCATGAGTAAATGCACAAGATACAGGAAGTCGGCCATTTTTGTTTGAAGTGGTCATTTGGCCAATCAAAATTTGCTACCAAGTTTAAAGGGGAAGGAAAGTCAATATTGTTCTTTACAACAATATGTTATGTTCTATGCACTTCCACTAGTCCAAGCATGGCGTTCTGATGAAAATTAATAATGAGTTAATATGACTTGAGCAGAAAAATCCAGTCGTTTTCATTCATCTCTTGGTGCAGCCATTTTGGTCTTGTACTGCCATTAGTTGAGACAAAATGACATCATAGTCATCTCGGCAACTGTAATGTCATTTTCATTTGACAGCAAGTGGTAAGATGGCCGCCCCCTGCGATGTTTAAAAACGCTGCTTAATTCATATTTCACAAACACAATATTCATCAGAATACCATGTTTAGACACGTGGGTGCACATAGAACATTTTACTGTCATCTTGATTTCCCCTTAGAAGCATGTACACTAAACATACTAGTACTGTATTGCAAAATTGGGGAAAACTATATTTTGTTATTTTCAGAGCTTGGTCACAAAGTTTTATCACCATATATCGATAGAAATTTTTGACTTCCCAAGAGCAAAGTGAATTCTTAGTCATCAATTCTAATGTTAATGTAAAGTTACATCAAAGTTGACTAGTCAGTACAGTACGGCGATCGGCAACATTTCCGCACCACTTATGAATTTGATGAAGCTGCTTAGAAAGAAATAAAAACATCTGATTAAAATACAGTCCAGAATTACACTGAATCTAATTACAATCAGTGGGAGCGCTGCGTTTTTCTCATGGCAGGCCGTCCTGTACTAACTACTCAAAGTGTTACGATGCTTGTTCTCATTAGCACACAGTTGTTGGGCAGAACGTTCTGGCGACAAATATGGAGCGTCACTTGGCGCCGCTGCCCTTGTTCCTCCCCGCCAGTCCCATGGTCCCCCTGCCCTGAATAGATTAGCAGCAATCTAACTGGCCGACGCTCGCGCCGGACGGCTAACTGCTATGCTCATCCACAATCAGCCTTTGTCATCTGTAGACTGAGTTGTCTTCGGAGCATTGTGTTCTGGAAGATTATCTTTCACCAGCGACCGTGGTTGACGGCCGAGTCACAAGTCCTCCTTATCGGCCGATTGGAAGACGAGATATCAAACACACGTGATTACTGTATTAATTACTGTAATCAATCACATGGATACGGGTTAGTAAAGTGGACTAGTTGACTAGTTTGTTTGATGCAATACCTTTATATTGAGTACTCTCATCTTCACCTCCCCACTTTAACACAACTAATGTTATTATATATAGAGATATTGATAGATTTCTTTTGGGAAGAAAACTAAAACATTTCTGTGTCAAAGTTATCTTGGCATTGGAGAAGTAAAATGACCCTAACCTACCTAATCCGAATCCTAAACCATTACAAATATTTCTGTCCAATTTAGCTCGGTTTGAGAGCTTTTTTTTTTTTTGTTTGTTTGTTTGTTTCCGCTATCAACAAGTGCATTCCTTTCACCTTCAACAAATTTGGTCATCCATACTATGTTTTGTGTTTGGACATCGCATGTGGGAATGGGGTTGAAAGCAAAAGAAGACTTATTTTTCTTCTGGGAAAAGAGAAAAAAAAAAGAATAGTCTTTGAATCTCAAGACACAACGTGAGATATGAAGTGCGTGTTCATCCAGTGTGTGGCTGAAAATATTAAGTAATTTTACTAAAATAAAACAATAATTCAGATTAACAGCAAAAAAATAACATTGCTAAGAAGAGAAAGGATCCAATCTTGTTTAACGACTACCACTGCTTAAATCAATGAGTATATTTATAGAAATAAATCACCTCTAACATTTCACATACTCTGTGACATTAGATATCCAAAATGAAATATTTATACACGAGACAATGTCGAACCAAAGTCTGATTAAATATACAAGATGAGCAGCTTCTGACAAATATGTATCATCAACGCAGGCGCGTCAGTTTAAGTGGAGCTTTGATGGATCTTTTTTTTTTTTCTACTTGAAACAGACTTAACCTCTCAGTAAACGTGTTGCAGCCTTCAAAGGTGATGTCATTTACGTTGGGTGGAGCTTTCGCATCATCATTTTTGTGGTGCCCTGCGACTGGCTGGCAACCAATTCAGGGTGATCTCCGCCAACGGCCCCAAGACGGCTGGGATGGGCTCCAGCATTCCCGCGACCCTCATGAGGAGAAGCGGACCCATAATGAATGGTTTAAGTTTAGTGGCGGAGGAGGTTGAAGCTGCGGTCCTAAAGGTTCTACTTGCTGTACAAGGTGTCTTTTTGTGCTTTTTTTTTTTTAAAGAAATTGGACCTGACCACCATCTGTGACTGTGTACAAGGTATTATGTCAGTCTTAAAAGCATTTAAAAGTCGTAAAGTGGACGTGCGTGTGATGAACCGTGGATTTGTGGGTACAATAAGGCCAGGTGGGACAGTATTAAGTACCGTATTTCATGTTAGAGAAAGAGAAATGCATTTGAAGCTGCTATTTTATCTCCTAGACTGCTCATTGCATTCATGTGTTTTTGTAGAGAGACCAATCACAAGCATTGAACGGAGTACTGACTGACACTTTGACGTGTGGACTAACTCCACCTTTGGGTTTTATTTTATTTTCTTGTCTGCCTTTCATCCAACTTTGTGCTGCTAAGCATTAGGGCTAAGACAGGAAGTAGCTGATGCAACGAAGGAAGGTTTTGTTCTTTTTAAATTCCCGACACGTCCGAGGCCTCATGTAGTAGGATTAAACGTATATACAGTATGTACATAAAGTGGAGGATGCTGTCTGCTTGAAAGATTTGTTTTTATTTAAACCATCTACTACTCCAAGGGTAACGACATGCTGTATGTTCTAAATAAAAACAAGTGCATAACAAACGAGTGAGTCACAGAGGCCTTGATTGTCCCAAAGCATGTTAAAGTGAAAAGTAGTGATGGGTCCAGCAACACCGATGTGTCGACGCACGCGTTGAGCTCACAGAGCAATCCCTGCGTCGGTGTGCATGCTGCTTCAAGACGATCACGTGACTAATACATGAACTGCGTCGACTCAGTCCAGGGGGCGTCGACGCCGCAAAAGCCCGCCAAACTGTGTTTATAAGGAAGTGCGTCGAACGACACAATGCCGCCTGCCGAAACAAGCCAGACCTCACCCTCGCTCGCTTGTCAAAGTACATGCGTTATTTTTATGGAGCAGCTCCCGGGGAAGCGCAAATTGTCCGCCATGTGGGACCATTTTGATCTCCTTTTGGAGAATAAGGTATTTATTCAAATCTCCTTGTCTCACCAAGTGCCTCTCAGATTATTGACATGTCTTGTTCCATTCTAATACAAATCCATTTCAAGTAGTGATGGGTCCATGAGGCGTCATGAAGCGTGTTGACACAATGACACACTGTGTTGATACTGTGTCGCTGACCACTGATACCTGCTGGACTTTCAAAATCCCTGCAGGCAACCAACTTGACAGACTGAACTGAGTGATCTGATGACGAAGTGTATCCAATATCATTGACATCTATGCATTCATATTGTATTATTCATTATGTTTGAATAATGTGAAAATTCTGTGAATGAGGATGCTTGTGGGCTTTGTCTTCAAAAATCTTTATTCAGAAAAATAAGTTGAATTTGAGTCTGTTGCGTTTCTTGCATACTATTTCCCCTCCTGTGGAGAACACACACTCACATGGCACTGATAATGCCGGCGTACAGAGGAACTCCTTTGCAAGGTGGGAGAGGTTTGGAAAAGTAGTGTGTTGGTTCTTCCAATATAACAGCGGGTCTTGACTGCGTGCAACATTCCCCTCTGCCAGGTATCGCTGGACCTCAGATACAGCATCTGCTGTTGCACTTCTTCCTAGTCTCCCGACCTCATCATCCAAATGTTGCCACAGGTCATCTAAAAAACAAAACCTAACAAAATTGGCATTTAGAACAGTTTCCAAAAAAACAAACTAATAAGGATGAGTAACATGCCAGATGTGCGTCGGTGTACGTACTGCTTCAAGACACTTCCAGGTTGAGTGTACGCTGGCGTGTCTGGCTGCCGCTGCTCACTCGCAATTATTCTTTTTTAGCATTTGTTTTACGTTTTTTTACGGTTTACTCTCGTCATGGGAGAAACCTTCATCTCCTGTCGCAATTCGTTGTGGTTTTGGACTGTCGGTCGTCGCACGGTTGTCAGGGAAGCTTGTCTTTATCGGCAGAGGTGGATCTCGAAGAGCGAACGACGGTAGTTGCTCCATGATCACAAAGTCCTTGTGCTCCTGTTGAACTTTTATTGTTTACATATGCAAAATACAAGAAAAACACTGCCCCCGATATTTGCATACCATGCCCCCGGTCCGGCCTCTCGGTAGTGATCTGATTACCTTGGTTTAAGCTTTGAACCACAGATACGTTGACACCTTCCAGTCTGGTCTACAACGAATCAGCCAGTCGCAGACTTCGCAGATGTCAAATGTCCGCCTGGGCGCGACACCCGTTTCCAAACCGTCTTTTGATATTCTACAACACTTCATTCCTAAATTGTTTATTCCCACTTTGTGACCGAGTCTAGCCTTCTTCCATCTGTTCGCCCCCTTGTTTTGATATGATACCTGTGGACTTCAAAAGCCCTCCGCCCAAACGGCTGACACCTTTGCGCGCAGGCATTTGGGAGCGCTGAATACGCCCCAAACTTCTAGACATGCCCAAATTAAATGAAACTTTAAACATGATACCATTTTTTATTTCTCTATCACTGTCAAGTTTCCAAGTCACTGTTGGCTTGTTGATCTTGCTCGCTGTTGTCCTTCAAGTGTTGCTTTCTTGGCCCTTCGTTATTCATAGATTTGAATCTGTGAGTATTTTATTTTTTTCTTATTGCTCTTGAACTTTGGCTTCAAGACATTTTATAATAATAAAAATACATTTGTTTGTTTATTCTCTGCTTTTGTTCCTGCATTGTTTTTCCTGGCTCCTTGTGACCAGCGATTTCTGTTTGGACGTTGTCAGTGCCCTTTTCCCAAAACATTATTCGGTTTGGTCCAGAACCTGACAGAATCAACTAGAGGTGACTTGGAAACTTGACAGTCCATCAAATATGAGGCAAGGCTTGATTGGGAAACGTATCACAGGTGTACCTGCTGAAGGGAAATGCCCTTCACTCCAATTGGATCGGAAACACAATCAAAACAGACAGAACATGACACTAATAATAATGATGATGATGATGATTGATGACACTGGATAACAAGCAAATATTTTCAGCACATATTTGAGGACACCTGAATGTTCTGAGCTTACCTGGTAGCACATTGTAGAAGTTGCATTAGTTGACAGCGTCGTCGAAAACAACGGTGAAGCCAAGAGATTTGGATTGAGCCTGGTGGGGCACATGACAAATCTTTGAACTACACGACAGCACACACCATCACTGGGGTCATGATGCTGTCACGAAACAAGCTTCGCTCTGTTCACAACCTTGCTGTTAATGGTAGTGGTGCACAAGCAACTCTGTTGTATTTTGTTCAAATCTATGCAGCCATTTTCTACAAAAGGAACATTACTTGTGACAACAACAATGGACAGAGGCAGAGAAACCAGTGAATTAAGAATTAAGATATCCTTCATTTGTCCCACACTGGGGAAATTTACAGTCTACAGCAGCAAAATTGGGGGATAGAAAGAAGAAAAAAAACAAAGCTCAACACAAAACAACTGACGCAACAATGAGGCACACCTGGACAAGATGGGAGTGGCTGAAGAGCAGGGGGAAATGAAAACCTAATGACCTAAAGACAAGACATCAATACGGGACACGGGGATAGCATAAAACAAAACCAAATATAGTATAATCCAAACATGGAAATCACGGGTCATGGTGAAGATCTGTTTGCTGACGAATTGAGGGATTTGTCATGAAAGTGGTGATGCCAGGAAGTAATTGTTTATCAAACCTTCCACAGCCAGATTTCATGAAATACACATACAGAACCTTGCCCAACACACTCAAAAGAACAAGTCAAAGTAAAAAGCAATATTTTTCTAGGCTGAATTTACAAAATAATTTTCTTTGCCATTGCTTTGATTTTGTGTCCTGCCTCATAGTTTCATAGTTCTAGCTCATGCACTGATTCGCTAGATAACAGCCAATCAGCGAGATCAGCTGCCGCCATTTTAAATCTTTTGATCAATGGCTCATTCATTCGATTCACATATAAAAAGCACAATGACACAAAAATCGGTAGGTCGGTGCGCTGATATGTCTCTCTTGATATATACTGTGTGTATGTATGTATGTATTTGATTTTGTGTCCTGCCTCATAGTTTCATAGTTCTAGCTCATGCACTGATTCGCTAGATAACAGCCAATCAGCGAGATCAGCTGCCGCCATTTTAAATCTTTTGATCAATGGCTCATTCATTCGATTCACATATAAAAAGCACAATGACACAAAAATCGGTAGGTCGGTGCGCTGATATGTCTCTCTTGATATATACTGTGTGTATGTATGTATGTATAAACATTTATACATATATATATATAAAAAAATCCTCGTCTCACCCCTCGGGTGGTGTCCATCCCTCATTCAGCTCGGGTCCTCTACCAGAGGCCAGGAAGCTTGAGGGTTCTGCGCAGTATCCTTGCTGTTCCCAGCACTGCACATTTCTGGACTGAGATGTCCAATGTTGTTCCCGGGATCTGTTGCAACCACT